GAAACCCAAATGAAATTGTCTAAACACGTTACCAATGCCAGCAAAACTTGGCCAACAAAAGTACTGTCAATTCCCAAACAACACAGGGATATCAATATGGCTCTTTATGAGCACAACAAACGGTATAGAGGGTTTAATAAATTCAGAGACTTATTTGCCTTAAATGTCCATCCATTTCGTTGGTAACTAACTTGATCAATAAGTCTAGATAAAAATTGCTTAAATAGAAGAAAAGCTTTCAATTTTAAGCTAACTTAAGCTGCAGTTCTTAATATTTAAGGGAATTACTTTTATTTACCCAATCGCCTTAGAACCAAAAGGGCTGTTAGCATGCGAACCGGACATGATGTGAATCCTCTCGTGGATATCCATAACGGAGCCACAATTCGGTTGATGAACTTCATTTGGTTACTCCCATTGGGATTGGATGTTTCAAGGGTTACAGAAAAAAGTAGCAGGATGTACATAGTTTTACTGTTAATTGCAATTTATGCGGCGGGGGGGAGAGGGTTGGGAGGTGGTTAAGGTCGTTAAGGGGTTAAGGCAGGGGATTCCGGAGCCCAGGAGACAGAACCCAGGAACTGGAATTTCGGCTCCAGTTGCAGTGGCAAATAAAAAGGTGTTGATGGACTGCGACATGACTGCACAAATTGCATCGACACGGGTTTGGCATATGGCCAGAATCGAATAAAACAGGACAGGACAGACCTCAATAGAGGTCTCAGTAATGGGCGGAATGGGTGATATGGGGGCGTGGTAACATTGCAGTTGCAATTGCAGTCGCAGCTAATTAAACGCGAAAATTGCAGCGGGGAAAAGCGGGGAAATTGTTGCCAATTTTACAGCCATTGAAATTGGCGATGGAGCCAGTGATGCCAGCTTTTTGACCCAAATCAATAAATATTTTATAGCAAAATGAGTAATTTTTTATATTTTTTTGGTTGATCACAAAATTGATGTAATAAATTATTGTTTTACTATGATGAAGTGTCGAATATTTCTATTTTTAATATTTTAAATAGGAAACGTAATTTTAAAATGATTTTATTTCATAAAAGTTTTTAATACGCATTAGTTAGGACCTCGAACTTGCGTAATTATTAGTATCTGGTTACTTCTCTTCACTGACTGGGTCTACTTGGACAAAATGTAGTGCCCCAAGCTATCCATTCGATTTCAATTGGAATTCAATTCGAGCCGCTATACGATGGCAAATTAAATATGGTTGGCAGGATCTGATGGTCCTGTGTGGATCCTATGCCCATTACCTCGATCCCAAAACCCCTGTCCGAAGCCCATGTGGTTTGTTTGGCCGCAGAGGAACTCGAATTAGAATGGAAAATAATTGCAGCTGGCGCCGTTTCAATTAGGTACGTTGCATGAATTTGCTAATGCAGCTGATTCCCTCACGCCATGTGCCACCCAATCCCAATTTCAGGTCCCCAACCCAAAGCCAAACCCAATTCAAAGTCTAGACCCAAATCCAGATCCCAACCCTCCATAGTTTGTACTTTTATCCCAGTACATCCTCCTCAATTTGTTGCTAATTGCACGGCATTATGCACTGCGCAAACGTAGCTAGTAAATTCCTTAGAATACTCTCTGGTGGAGTTAAAAATATAACCCATTAAATTGAGTTTTAGTTCAAGAAAGACAGAAATATATATTGAAATATGAAACTTAAGCTAGTTTCAGAAATAATTTCTCAGTCAGCATTGTTTTGGCCAGTGTTTGCCGTTGGGCAACACCGAAATTGAGTGGCCACAGCGGAGCTGAAACCGCCTTAACCCCTGTTTGCCAGCTGCCTGTTTCCAGTCGCCAGTTGGCAACTCATTCCCAGCGATGTTTCCCGTGCAATTTGCCAACTGCACTCGAGGGATGCATTCTGCTGACCGAACGACCCGGTCAACTGATGTTCCGCCCTCCTTGGCCCAATGTTGGGCTCGGAATGTGGGTGGGATTCTTGGTGGGAACGGAAGAGAAGAGTTTTGGACCAGGATTTGGAAGCCTAAAAATTCAACTGGTGAAAAGTTGCATTCGCTTTCATCGACTTGGAAATATTCTTGGCCATAAATCAAGCAATGTCCTTGCCATATTGCCATTCCACCCAATCCATTTCCATTTCGATTTTGGATTCCAGAGTTCCAGTTCATTTCGATGCCATTAGTTGCCCACTCCGATTCGCAAATAACTCACATGAAATCGGCTCGAAATTGATAATTGATTTGGACATTATGATGTGCCACCTAATGCCCGAATGCCGCATCATTGAATGGTCAAAAAGTCCCACCTACTTGTCACCCACCATTCCGGGGTTCATCAATTGCCCAATTTCAGTGAATTAAAACCAATCGCTGGAAGATGAGGCCATTATGTGTCATGCACTGAACAATATTTAGATAAACGTTTTTGATTGAATTAATGCATAGATAAAGATCTTAACAAAGTTTATAACTTACTATATATAGAAACACCTATAATATATATTACTAAAAATATAAAAATTATTAAATAATGATAGCTACTTTTAAAAATAAAAGAAACAATGCAGCTGAGAGAGTACTATCGGTGCCTTAGTTTTCGCCCAAACAAGTCCTGCGGCGAATTCAGAAAAGCTTTGGAACGAATACTGGTGGATGAGCAGGATTCTTGGCCTCCACATTTTGGATTTAAGTTGAGGGAGATCCCGGCGATGTCAGAAGTTGGCAGCATTTACTTCATTGTGCTTAACACTTTCCGCTTTGCCAGACGCCGCTTGACAGCGCCTTGTTGCCCTCGCCGCCCTCCCCCTTTTGAACTCACCGAAAACCCCACTTAACCCCCTGTACTCCCACCACCATCTCCATCGAGTTTAGGACTTCCTGCGGGTGTTGCAAAGTTGTGCGGCATGGCTGATGTATGCTCATATAACTTTGCCACTAACGATGAGCTCATGAGCTGCATAATAATGAGCCAAAGTCGGGAGGCCCCACTATTTCGGAGCTTGTAATCCTCGAGGATTGAGGTGGGCACGAGAAACATGTCCCTAGTAGAGACCTCTACATCTACCTCAATCCCATTCAAAACTGCATCCATTTCGCATTTATCGACTTAATATATGCCCGGCCATCAATCGTCTGGTTATGGCCATGAATGCCGCACGATTAATCTGCCAACTGATTTCCCGTTGACGAAACAACAATGCCCAGCTAATGCGGGCCAATTATTCATATTTCCAACCCAATTCAACCACCCACAAAAATATGGACTCCATCGGCCTCACCTGCGGGCGGTGGTGGGTTAAGGACGATTGGATTGGGTAGCAGAAACACGACCAAGAAGCGGCGCCAGGCATAGGAACTTGTCCTGCCAAATGATTCGCTTTGATTAACATTTGGCTGTTCCTGTTTATACTTCTGACCTGCATACAAAATGTCCTTTTTGCTTCTGTACTTAGAGAAATAAGGGATTTCTTGGTCATTTAATCTTTGCTCAAACTAACCTTTAAGTTTCGTAGTTTCAATCGTAACTCATTGGTGTATTAAAATCACAATTAGATGAAACAGAAATGGTAATAATACACTTATACTTTGAAGTTCTAATAATTAAACAGAGAAGGGCTGCAATCTTAAGAACTGTAAGCTGCACCTTTATTTACAGCGAAGCCACTTTCTTCTCCCGTGGCAACTTTCAAGTGTTTAATTGCAGTTTGCGAGTGCTAAATACTTGATTTATTTTTTCTGCGTATACATGGCCGATCTGCAGCTACTTGGGGCTATTTAGCTGGGAACTTTAAGTGGGCCAACGGCGGAGCGGGGTTACGCTTCTGGCCATCGTCTTTTCAATTAGCCCGATGCAAAGCATCCTGCATCCACGTCCTAAAAAACCCCAACCCTCCGAGCTCCAATCTCAAAAAACCCCTTGAAAACCGCCACCCCTGAAGGCCTCCACTAAAACTCAGACCATTGCGTTACAAGTGCAAATTAGTCGAGAGTGCCAACAAATTTAACGAGCAAATTTACACTCAGCGAGCAGCAACAGAAGGGCAGTTTCTGGAGGGGATTTCCAGAGGGTTTCCGAAAGGGGGGTTTCACGGGGGCCTTCCTGAGGCCATGACCCGAGTGCATGTCCCTGGCCCGATCTCACAATTGCCCCGGACTTCCATCTGAAGGCAATTGCAAATTTGCCTCCCTTTTATTTTTTCGGGCAGAGGCTTACCCCCTCCAAATGCCTGTGTTTTAATTTAAGCAACACAGTGCCGCAATTTTCCCCTCAAAAAAAAAAAAAAAAAAAAAGGAAAAGGAAGGAAAAAGTGAAAAGCCTTGTGGCAGGGCGAACCTTTTCCCCGATTTTTGCTCCGCTTTTCCGTTTGTCTTATTACGCCTGGGCGTTGGCCACTTTTTCCTTGCCGCCTAAGTATTTCCTTTGATTCGGTAGGCCGTGTGTGTTTGTCGTTGGAAATTGATTCAAAAATTGGATACAGCAAATGAGAGGAGGGCCTGGAACTGACCTGACCTGACAGAATCTGGGTTCCTATATACAAAAAGCCCAAAACCGAAAACCCAAAACCAGCTGCAGTCCTCGAGGCCAGCTGGGAACCCATGTCAACTTTAATTGAATTTGATAGAACGGATATTTAGCCAAGGCTGCGCACCATTTACACCATTAGCAGAGACCTCCTGCTGGCTAAGGATCTACAGCTCCACCTCCCATCCCAATCCCAATCTCCTCCACCTTCTTCCATCAGATTCTACCACTCATATTCGTAATTAAACTTGGAGTTGGACTTATGTTGGCCGTCATGTCCAACAGTCTGCAGATTTCAATAAATTCTCAAAGCTCAAAGGCACATGGAAGGTAGATTATTTACTTTTTCGTATGTCATCCAAATATCAAAATATTTTAATATCAAAATTCAATTTCGTAGTGAAGAAACCTATATATCTCAGGCAATTATTAAGAATATCTGCCCTTATATAAATATTCTGTGAATACAGTTTTAAAGTTTAAATAATACTCACTTTTGCATACTGTTTACGTTCCGAGTTCTCAGTTCCAGCAATCACTCAAATTCTGTGCCATGACTTGCCATTTCTATATTCCGGCCAGATGAAGATGACAAGCCAAGTTGACTGGATCCCGAAATCACAGAGTAATGATTAAAATATTACATTGCCGCCTGGTTAGTCTTAGGCCACTGGGCCAGTTTGTCTTGGTATATCTATTACGATTTATGTCATTGCTAAAAGCCGAAAAAAAGAGAATAGTTGTCATTAACTTGGACAGTTGTTGGCCAGACCGGTTTGCCAAAATATCTACGCACATTACAAAACGAGGCTCTGACTGGCATACTTACTGGCACACATATGTTTTGTTATTATGATTTTTGTTGGTGTACTTTTCTGGTTGCCGACTGTGTCAAATTGCTTGATTTGCTACACAAAAGGTCCGTAGAGTCGGCCTTGGGCGGTACTTTGTTTTGGCTGGGCTTTGGGTTTTGTGGGTTTATGGATTTGGGTAATGAGAGTGGTAAGTACATCGTCACCAGGTGAACCATTTTGGCTATAAAGGCGTTGCAACGGCTGGATTTCTTATCAAACAGCTTCCAGCTATCGACTCAGTCACATCAATCGACTTTCAGTCTTCAAATCCAGCTACTAAAATGGCATTCAAGGTGGGTTGACCAGGACCAAAAGGAATATCTATAAATAAAAGAGTTAGGAGCTTATGTAAATTTCATTTTCAAATAATTAATAGTGGTGTTATGTTTTATTTAACGTAAACTAAAGTTTTTAAGTAAAATCCCATACTTTTCGGCTCTTAAATGATGTATTTTATTTATATATTTTAAAAAATATTTAAGCTTATTAATGAAATACTTCTTTTTAATATTTAATTTCTGCAGTTCGTGGCTCTCTTCGCGTTGATCGCTGCCGCCAGTGCCGGTGTCCTGCCTGCCGCACAGGTGTACCATGCCGCCACACCGGTGGCTACCTATGCAGGACCTGCTCCTGCTGCCGTTCTAAAGACCGTGGCCCATCCGGTGCTGGCCAAGGCTGACGAGGAGTACGATCCCCATCCCCAGTACAAGTACGCCTACGATGTGCAGGATTCGCTGTCGGGTGATTCCAAGAGCCAGGTGGAGGAGCGTGATGGTGATGTGGTACGTGGCGAGTATTCCTTGATCGATTCCGATGGATTCAAGCGCACAGTTCAGTACACCGCCGATCCCATCAATGGATTCAATGCCGTGGTTAACCGTGAGCCATTGGTTAAGACCGTCGTCAAGGCCGTAGCTCCAGTGGCCCCCGTCTACGCATCCTACGCCGCTCCAGCTGCTGTCTACCACCACTAAACTAGAGCCCTGCTTAGACCCAATTTGTTGACTTAGTTGTAGGTGTTGATCCACAAATATAAGTTTTTTTTTTTAATATGAAACTTTAGCAAAGTTAATGTTAATTATTTCATCACCATCACCAAAAATCTTTACATCATTCTTGCCTATAATATGTAAGCATCATCTTTCTCTGCATTCCGTTTGCTCTCGATCCGCCGGAATCCGCACTCCGGGCAACATTTGCTGCACTCGTGGAGTAAATCAAAGGCATTCCCCATATACATATACGAAGAGCATAGTCTGGCTTCCGTTTTACTTTTTATTTTAGTGCCGTTTGCCTTTGTTATTAAATTGCCAGCCACATTGCGCACACTGGGGAGTATTTATTAAGTCATAACCTCCCATATGTGCAATATATATATATATATATATGTACATATATCTGGATATATACTAGGGGGGAGTGGGTGTAATTGTGCTAACAACACACGCGCACAGATGCAAACGACGTGCAGTTCGCACCTACATTTCACCCACACATATTATACACCTCAAGGATGGGTAAACTTTCCCCGGCAGAAAGAAAGTGCAGAGAAAGTAGTGGCAGAAGTGGAAAAACAACAATAGGAGAACAGCTTACCATTGAAAGTCCTTTGAATTTTTGAATCAATCGAATGATAGTCATTACGCAATAATTCATGGCTTAAATTATTGTTTAGTAATCAACAGTTTAAGGTACAGACCTGATCTACTTAAATTCTAATCTTTATATTAATAATACGCCCTGATGGCAGAGTATTATATGTATCTTGGCTTTGCCAGGACTTGAATGGCCAACTGCCAGCAATTGTATTGTGAAAAGTTTGCGAATCTTAACGATTTGCTTATTGTTCTTTCAGGTTATGCATTTACCGAGTACATATTTGAGAGTTCCATGCCCAAAGACTGCCTGCTGGGTAAACAAGTTGCCAAGTTAGTTGGGCAAGGGCACGAAATCCAGGCCCAGCTGGGGTACGGTGAACATTAATGGGTTAACAAGAGTTCGAATGCTCTTAAACAGCAGGCCATTCAAAGCGAACATGGTCAACACAGCTTTATATTAGATTGAGAAGGGGTAATAGATTGTTAAAGAACTTGCAACAACTTTCTTAGAAATGCTATAATATATTTACTGACTTGATTGATGATAACTTAATCTATAGTTAATTACAATAACCTATCAAATAGTGGGTAAAATCCATTCGATTGATAGACTACTCTCAGCAATTTTCATTTTATTTTCGACTTTCATGTTCCACATGGCCCCAGAAGATGATGTTGCTGCTGTGCTGCTTTTGCCGCTGCTGCTGCTGTGGGTGTTGCTGCTGCCACTATTGCTGTGGCAAGTTGCCGTCGCGAAGCCGAAATGAAATTCCCGTTTAATTGCTGCAACAGACTGCTGGTGCCACACATGTTGCACATTCCATGGGTTATGGGGCACAGGAAGCCCGGGCAGAGTAAGCACGACTATAACTAATTGAATTATGTGGTTGCAACAGTTCCAGCCGCTTCATCTTCTCAGTTCTCAGCTTCTTTGTTTTTGCCACTGGTTGGCGGCCTGGGCCAAATCGCGCTTCCACGCCATTGACTCCTCCGGAGTTTTCACTCCAATCTATTGACAAGTGTTCAACGTAAAACTAAACCACACACCTGCTGGCTTTGTGCACTTTAAAAAAAAGTGTAATCCTGATAGTATAAATACCGTTTTCAGATCTCAAATGATCCGAAGAAAGTACCTAAAAGGCTGATTATCAAATGAGGTTTCCTTAAGATTAAGATTTGTATTTTTAAATACTGTAAAATCCAGATTTTCCAGATTTTTACTTTTTTGTGTGCATAGATATTTCACCGCCGGTTTGATGTGTCCATTATCCTGGTCGCGCTTTGTCGCTCAACTGCCGCATAAATGTGCCAACTGAACTCGGTGCCCCTCGAAACGACAATGGCTCAAAGGCCGTTTGTCCTTTGGCAGTGGACGGCGGATGTCGGATGTTGGATGTTCGATATAGGATAGATATGGATATGGATATGGATATGGATGGATGTGTGTTAATAGCGAGTGCACTGGTCCACAAGGATGCAGTGGCCATTCGACTGGGAATAGCTTTTCGTCGACGGCCAGGAAATGGGAAATGGACAGCAAGGCAACATCAAAGGACTCATCAAGCCGTCGTTTTTTGGGATTGAAATGGAGGCGGGGTTTCACTGTGTATGTATATGTGTGTGTGTGTGTGTGTATTCTCTGCCAACTCAAAGTCATCCTCATGGGAAATATAGCAGCGGTTTTGGAATGAATGATCGCACTTTGAATTCTGAGTGCAAAACTGAAGCTTTTATTAAATGCTGGGAAATATTTCAAATAAAAATTTCTGGGCAAGTAATGATTTTCTAGTTCAACTCTTGGTCATGTTTCTTATGTTAGCAAATTAACCGATTGACTAGCACAAGAAATGTTTAAATAAGGAAATCTTCTGTGGATCTGAGTATTACACATTATTTACAATGAAAAATATACCTAGCAAAGGAATATTAAAAGTAAGACCACATATACCAAACCAATCTTCTATCATATATCGAACCCCCTTTAGATATTCCCCTTTTGGAGTGGTCCTGCGGCCGAGCCTCTGGTGATTATCAATCAATAGCCAGACGACATCAACTGAGTCTGCGATAATCTTAATTATTTATGTCCTTATTTACGGCAAACACCAGGCACGGCCCAAAGTGCCGGAGACAAACCCGAATAAACATTCGACCGAAATGACTTTATAATCTTATTAAATTTTAATCTCCCAATCAGCCAAGGACGCACCCTTTGTCAGCGGCAGGATTCGAACCCCCATAATTATCCTGGCAAAGTTACAACCACAAAAAAAAAGGGAAAACCAAAAATAAAGGGATACCAATGGTGGGTACATCAACCTGTTGTTGTTTTCTTTTTTTTTAGGGTGAAAGGGGGCGTCAAACTTTTCCAATTGCTGTTAACAAAACAGAAATCAAAATTGATTGCCAACTTTTTGATTAGTTTCGCATTTTTAGGCCTGCATCTCGATTGTCGCTGGATTTTCCTTTAGCCAGGTGTTTGCGGATCCGCCTAATTGAAAAGCCAACTGCCGACGCCGACAGCTGTCCGAATGCCAAAAACTAAAAATCCCAGCCCAAAATATTCCGAAAAATAAAAAGGGAGAGGAACAGTAAGCGGCAAAAAAAAAAAGAGGAAAATTGTTCCAGTTGCATTTGCATTTGTTGCAAAAGTTTTCTGGCCCTAAATTGCTGAGGAAAAGTTTTCCGGGGCTGGAAAATGCAGTAGGAGAAAATTAGTCGAAGTTCTTAGAAGATTGATTTGTTTTGTTAGGAATATATTTATATATTGTACCTCTTTTACGTGAGCAAATTGTACAGAATGTTTCTTTCTTTTAGTAAAATAAAAAGCTTTCAAAGAGAATATCTGTCATTCTGAATTTATTTACCAAAGTCAGTTAGTTATATTATTACTTGGCTGTCACATTATAAATCATTCAAGTGGCAAACATGTTCACTGGAGTTTGCTGGGGATTATTCATAAAAAAATATACATAAACTAATTAAAAATGCAAAAAAAAATCCATAATAGTTTTAAAATGTTTTTTCCGGGTGGCAAAAAAGTCTAGGAAACTTTTTTTTTTTTTTTTGGCCCCGCCCACGCAATTGAGTTGCCAAAGTTGGTTGCATGATTCGGCAATGTTGCAACATTGCAGCACGGCTTGAAGTGAACATTGCACTCACTGCAGTTGGCGCTGGCCAAATGTTGATTAAAATATAATTGGATTCTAATTAATGCTAATTGATTTGTGCGACATGTGCCGGTGTCAGGGATCTGAAGCTGACCAACTTACATGGACCCATTCCCGGGGCTTAAGTATCCATGTCCTCGGATTATGGAGCTCCCATACGAATGCAAGCGCAAACACAAACACAAATACAGGATGCAGGAGACGGGAGGCAGGAGCCAGGAGGCAGGACCATATACAAACACACACTCTTACACCGCCTGTCAGTTCATATCAGTGTGCGTGCAGAAGGACAAACAGTTGCAGTTACCAATACACACATACACGTCCCTCATGTCACAAGGACAAACTTTCGACCACACACGCACAAAACCCAAGCACACACACACACACCCACTCATATGCAAATTCATGGGCTGAGCAACCAATTAAGCTCTGTCAAATTGTTTGGCATTTGAAATGCAGTCGGAAAATGGGTGGAAACTGATGGCTTTCCACCGACCATTTCCACGATTTTCACATTTTTTTTATGATAGTTTTCCACCTCAATGCACATTTTCAATTTCTTTTCGCTTAAACACATGCTCGATTGCCGCAAAGTATCGCGTTTTAAAATGATTATCTTATATTTCGGAGTTGCAAATTTTTATTAACCAAAAAATCATTTTCATAAATATTCAACTTTGATTTTCATGTCCCATTTTAACATATTACTCAAATGAATAAGTTTTCTGGGTAGCCACTAACAAAATATAGAGATAAAACATTATATATTTTCCAACACACCATGCTTTTCCCATTTTCCGCTCAAGGAGCAGTTCAAAGCAAGTCCAAGGATTATCCTGGAACGCGTTGCGGATTCAACTTCATCAATTGCAGACGGTTAGCTATCATTTTATCAATGAGATATATCTATAAGTTTTAATGGAATCTTCTTTTACCCCAGAAATGCTGACCTAGTGGCCAAGGGATTTGAGCCACCGAAGGCGATTCGCACGGGCACTTCCATCGTGGGCATTATCTATAAGGACGGCGTTATCCTCGGCGCAGATACTCGAGCCACTGAAGGACCCATTGTATCCGACAAGAACTGCTCTAAAATTCATCATCTTCAGGATCACATTTAGTATGTAGTAAAATTGAAGAAAATTATAGAAAACTAAGGTTTTCTATTTCTCAGTTGCTGCGGAGCTGGAACCGCTGCCGACACAGAGATGATGACCCTGATGACCTCCTCCGAGTTGGATCTCCACCAGCTAAACACCGGCAGACAAGTGCCGGTGGTCTGTGCCAGCATGCTGCTCCGCCGGACCTTGTTCCGTTACCAGGGTCACATTGGAGCTGCTCTGGTGATGGGCGGTGTGGACAGGACTGGTCCCCAGATCTACTGTATCTATCCGTGTGGTTCGAATGACAAGATACCCTATGCGGCAATGGGTTCTGGTACTTTAGCAGCGATGTCTGTACTGGAACACGGCTGGAGATCCGATTTGGATCGGGAGCAGGGTAAGCAATTGGTCCGCGAGGCCATTTCGGCGGGCGTGTTCAATGACTTGGGCTCCGGATCGAATATCGATCTCTGTGTGATCACCAAAAAGGGGGCGGAGTACCTGAGAACGGATACGATTGCCAGCGAGAAGGGTGAACGGTTGGGCAAATACGGTATTAAACCCAATACCACAATGGTGACTTCCACATCAATTTTAAGTCTCCTGGTGACCGATGAGAGATCCTACGCCGTAGACCCTTTTCCCACGCAGTCCCCGGTGGATGAACAACAGCCTGGAAGTAGTGGCATTCAGGATGATTCCCAGGAGACCAGGGATAAGAGAGAGGAGAACCAACCAAGTGAATCGCAGAAAAAATCACCATAGAGTTCAAACATTCATTTAAATTTTAGCAAATTAACTGTTAACAAGCCACATAAATGTAAATCCAGTTGCAAAACGCAGAGATTCCTTTTGAATTCTTTCAGCATGTTGTTAGTCCTGCGGGCCTGATGCAAGGAACATCAACTATTTTTCCAACGGGGGATTAGAATGTCGGGGCGGTTGCCCTGGCAATGCCTACTAAGTACACTGCAAATAATATTTCAATTTGTAGAACAAATATATGTTTATATATATTCTGTATTAGATAAAATATTTTTGAAAAAGGTACATTTTTATCCTTTGAAACGAAAATCTGTTAAAAGTAGCCAATTTCGATTGATATCCCCTACTTTTCCGAAGTGTAGGTGGACTCGAAATGGAGCTGGAGCTGCCGCAAGAACTTTTATGGTGCGTGGCCTAGCATTCTGCTCTAAAATTGTTTGAATCCCATACAATTCCTAATGGTTCAACGGAAAATCTTCTCATTCCGGCAAATATCTGGGTAGTCCTTCTGCCGTAGAATGCAGTGAATGGATACGCCGGGCAGGTGTTTGCCTGCCCGTAATCGGGATCTAACTTCACTAGCATTCATCCCATCAAGCGATGAACTGCGAGGACGTGTAAATAAGGCCAGGAATTCGAGATACAGGATAGGGGAACTGGTAACTGGGACTCGAGACTCTGGAGTCGAGAACTGTAACTTGGTCGGAGGCCAGCATCATTATAAGATTAAATCGCAAGTCCACTCAACACATCCATCGACGGTGCAAAAGAGGGGATGGGTTTGATTTTGTTTTGTCGACTGTTTGCTTCGTCTACCTTTGGCTTTACCCCACTATGCACAGGTGATTCAGAGCGCCCATCTGTTGTCTGTCGCTGAACCTTTGAACCCCCACCCCTTCCTTAAAAATCGGCTCCTAATACTACACCACCCAACCGCCGCCATCACCACCTTCTTTCTGCCCCCAAGCTCTCCACATGTGTGCAGATTTTAAATTAGATTTCTGTGTGCACTCCCAGCTTCCCAGCTATCCTTTCCTTACCGTTTCGCTCCTTCACTTTCTTGTCCATGCTGCAAAGCCCGGTTATTGCGGATTCCATGTGGTCCTGATTCTGCAAGAGCATCCCGCTTATAGAGTATTCGAGGATAATCTCGTTTACTTGATGGAACTATTTTATCATGGAACTGGCTGAACCCAAATTGAGTTAGACGATGACCGGGATATTTAACAGAATTGTATCTCCTAGGGATTACTTATTTGTCCGTAAATGTTTCGGAATAGATAATCACCAAAGACCACTTTATTGCAAGGATTAGTTTACCCTTTTTATATAATAAATATATATACAGATGTATCTTTAGTTTATCACTCTATTCTTATGATTTCTTTGAGTTTACCCTTATCCCGATTTGTCCTTCCATCATCTATTCATCCATTTTCTCCATTAATTCCTCCTGCCAAAGGTTTTTCCATCCAATCTGCCATCCATCAATCCAGTCATTCATCCATCCTGACCTGTGATCTCTGCTGGTTCAATGACCCCAGCCGGCGCAATCCTTTTTTGCTCCACCATCCCTTATGGTCCTGTACCTGGGATGTGGGTCCAAGCTTGGGATTACATTTATTATTTATTTACGGCCACTTGGCCTCCAGATGGCCAGGAAGCGGTGTTCCGGAGGACCATCTGGCCCCGACCTAGGCGCACTAATTGAATCACAATAGGTGGTGTGGTGCATGAGGACTGGCAGGAGTAACCCCATGTCATAGGGCCGAGTCTCTGTGGCTTCTCTGTGCCACCTTCTTATCCTTCGCCTGTTCTCCCGGAAAATGCGTCAAGTGCAATTTAATTTAAATCGTGCGTAGCCAAGGGCATCGGTAGCAGGAGCAGGAGCAGCAGCAAGGATATCAGTGTTGGGGGGTCACGGGTGAGCAAGAGATCCCTGTCCCCGGGACCACTCGAGGCAGTCATTTCATATCCTGTTGTTTATGGCCACACACATATATATCCTTAAGGTCGGATCATGCAGCACACGGGAGCGGCTGAAGTGGCAGGAGCAGTAGGACCTGGCTGATGGGGCACGTGGGAGCCAAAGGTCAGTGTGCAAAGTGCCTGCGAATCGGAGGCCCAAACGCAGACAAATGTCCTGCTCGACTGGGAAATGTGCCAACGGATGCGGACACGGATATTGACAGCCGGGCAATAAAAACGACAACGGCGACAATAGCAATACGAGCAGCAGCAACATAAACACGGCCAACAATCAACCCAAAGGATGCAGGAACATATCTTATTTATACAACACCCATGCAGATGAGAAATACTATATGCAGGTTTATATATTTATAAATATATACCCTTAAAAATATATGGACTTAAACAAAACAGGGGTTTCATCCTCTTAATAAAATATATAAATTCTAGAAATGTTTCGAAATGCAACTGAAATCGAAGACTGATTCAAGATATGTTTCAAAGGTATGTTGTATTCTGATTTTTAAAAGGTTAAATTGTTGTTTTTGTTTCTTATTCGAGTGCCACTACTTGGGCCCGAAAAGTTGTCGATTCGATGGCGAGCAGCCAGTGTGCTCCAGTTTTGAGCTGATGTCATCCAGAATCCCATTACGGGCATGGTTCCTTTGATCTGCTGCCGCAATCAGGCTGCTGATTCTTTGCCAGAAAAACTTCTTCATGTCCCTTTTTTCATTTTATTTTATTTTATTTATTTTTTTTTTCTGGGCGGAGAAAGGAGAAACTTGTGCTGCCGCACTTTTGTTACTTGTTACTGGTTTCTTGGCCAGTTTGCTTTTGGCCGGCAGCAAAGTTTGCACGCGGCCATTTAGCATCGCTGGGGGAGTAGGGAGTAGGGATCCGGGTGCCGGGAATCGGAGTGGTGTACAGTGGACTGGAATGCATGCCACGTCAGATGGCCCCGGCTCAAAAAGGACGTGCTTCACAGCTTAAACAGGCTGCCAGGGCCCATTCTATCTGGTGGGCGTTGGTGGACGTGCCCGTTGGCCAGTGGGCGTGGTAACTGGCTGAGGGAGAGACAGAGGCCGAGGCAACTGGCAGCGGCATAATCATATAACTTGCAATAGCAGAAGGCTGCAAGCAGAAGCGGCTTCATTATCGACAGCTGCAGCAGCTGCAGTGTCTAATTAGCGCGTCCAACGCGTCGTATGCGCAATGAATAATTGTCGGTTACCTAGCCGCTAAGCCACCCAACCACCCAACGACCCATTACCGTCCAGCACCATCCAGCACCACCCACTGCACCACTGCGGTTGCAACTGGTCGGCAAAATATGCCCATGGGGTTGAGCTGGAGCGCAGTTCACAGGGCAATGGATACAGTTGCAGATAGAGATTTTGGACCTGCACGTGCCCCATACGGAATCACATGGATCGGAATCGAATGACTCCAACTGGGCAGTCAGTCACGCGCCAAGGAACGACACTTATTACATAATATCGAAGAGCATCGACTAGCAAATTGTCTAAAGCTTGAGGTGAAACCGACACCTTTACGAGGAATTCCTACTTCTTTCCTTTTCTAAAATATTTTCCTTTCCTTTGCCATTAAAAACTTATTAAATCACAAATTTTTGTGTAAAATAAAGCATATTCAGAGGATTTTGGTATTCAGTTAATGCCAAAGGACTTAAAGAAATAAATAACAAAGCAATCGACCAAGTGTATAGCTTAATTTGCAAAGGTACTTCAAGATTGCAGCTCCTCATTAGGGATTATTAATTAGAGATTTATTCGCCCTGACTCCATTCGGCGGCACCTGGCATGTGGAGTCCTTGGAGCCCAGAAGTTGTCATGGCAACAATCCACATGCTCACCCACCTAATTCTAGCATAAGCACCGCACAAGTGGCTCATAACAACAATTGAATTTTCAGTTAACATCACTAATTAGTCTCAAGACACTTAGGGCCCAGGCAATCTCTGGATTAGTACACTTAACAAAATTTCGTTTTATCCTTAAGTATTTTAAATTGAAGGTATTGTAATTGAAAATTGCATTTAAATAATATATTTTAAATTATTTAAGTCTAATGGCATCGAAATGTTATATATTATATATTATACATCTTTTTTATATCAAAATGCAAAAATATGTACACATAAATTCTTCTGATTAAACTTTCTGATATATAAAATACAAAGTTGCAACCCTTTACATGTTTATCGTTGGTTACATTTTTATGGCCATCAAGTGCCTAAATGCCAGGTTCTTATTATATTCTGATAAGGAATACTGATAACCATTTTAACGCTTTTGGGGTGCGTTGTGGGTGTTAATGTGATATGATGATAGGGTTCCTCAGTACAAGTTGGCCAGTTATGATTGCCTATAGGCGCAACACGAAGGTCTGGACACTTTCATGTGGCGGTGGTGGACGGATGACCTGCTGTCCACTATCATCCAGATGATCCACATACCGTATAGTATTGATTAGCTCATAGCCCAAACGCTGGACCAACCTAGCGGAGTAGACACTGGTGCAGTCCACGGATACCAAATGGTGTCCCAAGTCCCTGGCCCTCTGGGCAACGGCGATCATTAGGCGGGCGCCCAGGCTATGACCTCGAAGTTCCGAATTAACGCCTAAGGCATGGACGTGAATCGAGCTGGGGACATTGAACCGCCGGCAGACATCGGTGGCGGACTCCACGGCAGACAGCATGTGTAGAATGCGTCCCCACTTACTGCCGGCATGCTTTCTGGCTTCCTCGATCATGTGTTCTGGTTCGTGGTCATCCTTGGGACCAGCCACCACGCCAGCTACTATCCTGCCTGCTTGCAGCGCCATAAAGCACGTTCCAAAGGGAACATTCGATAGCAGAAATTCCTTATCAGCCGCATCTGGTTCCGGTGGGCTTGTGCCTGCCGTAAGTGGCTCCTCTGGGTAATAGTAGGCCAGCAGAAATGTCATCAGATCACCCGATTCTTCCACGGACACCTGGCGCACTTCAATATCATCAGGTTCAAGTTTTTCCATTGAAAATATATTTGTTTACAGATCTCTTGGTTACGATAACCACGCACGTGGAGACTAACCACACAACTGATCGTCAGCTGTGCCAGATTGGTGGGAGCTTTTATAATCTTTTTTAAGAGTGCCGATGTGCAAGTGGATGCCAAGCTTTTAAAAGTGGATCTTATGATTGTTGTGATAGGTCGGGGCTTTGTGGATGGTAAAGCGCGCGCTTTTTCTTTTTCTGCTTTGGTCTTTATCGAATTTTGAATTGAATTGCCTTTTAGATAAGGTATAGAATAGTAAGTATATCTTTTAAAAGTGGTGTACGATTTGTTCTTAGTGTATCCATGATTAGTTTCATAGTTTCTTTGTTTCCATACACACATAATCGTTGCATTGTTCAATGCTTAACGGGTCCATTGTGTTTATGATGTCCGTACAGAGAATACGATGTTTCGCATTGCATAACCAATCAACCCAGGAAACCAAATAGAACAGCCATTGACCGTGGATATGGGCACTTCCCCAGGACTACCCCACTCTAGTCCCGTCGAGCGAGTCGCATTTCCATTCGGACTACGTGTGTCATTAAGTGGCGTCCAGTAGCGCTAATGGAGAGCATCGAAACCATTAGGAAAGGTATTAGGGCGGCTTAAGAACCTTGGATCCGAATACAACACAACATCCAAGGCGGCATCACAACAACAGCGTGGTGGGGAAACAACGACGCAGGACTTCTGGCTGAGCAAATAAATGTGTAGTGTCCTCGGCGATGGCACCACGAATGCGAAATACTCTGGCCCTGATTTGCATGACCATCGATGATGGTTTCGATTCCCAAACTGCTGCCATGGATATCCGTTCCCAGAAAGAGTAGTGAGACAGCGGGGTGTGGCCCAACAAGTGTAATCCGTAGACCACGGAAACTACACAAACGACATCGACAGGGACATCACGCGGAGGTGGAAGTGGATATGGGGCGAAAACGGGCTTGGCCAGGGATTATGCCACTGAAACTTATGGAAGTGAAATCGAGCGCGCGAAGTTCAAGTGGCACCCATTGTCCACCTCAGAACACACACAATTCTAATTGGTGTGCCCGTGGGCGTTGGGAGTTCCGGTGGTCTATCGTGGGTGGCAAGGTCAGACACAGACGTAGAACTAACCGAAAATGTCCAAACAAATCAACTAAAAATAAAGAAATGCACAATGAAAGCATTAAGCCAGAGAGTCCTTGTCTGCCCCCATTGCCATTTTCAGATGGTGACTTGGGCTCGAACGGGGGTCCGCACACGGAGAGAAATGAGTCAAAATTCGAGGTTGGGATACAACGTATGACGTTACCCTTCATCAAAAAAGCACTATGCAAGTTACCAAGATTTTTCTCTCAAGATGACAGTATTATGCCCATATCTAAACCAAAAATGGTCCAAATAAGGAATGTAATACATCGTAGGGCTCGTAACTTGATTGCCTTGATTCCCATATGGTTTGCATTCAAATCTGGGAAACCTAATTTTTAACCCATTTTTGAAAATTTTGATGATGGTACCCCTTATCAAAAATGCGAAATTTGGGCCAAAATTGATTTTCCCAAAATCGAAAAACGAGTGATAGGGGTAGTAAGTGTTGGTCGTTAGCAGCACAAAACGGTCATTTATTTGGCTATGCGTCTCGATTTGACCGAGCTAGAGCTAAAAACCCGAAAATAGTATTGCAAATTTCTGTTAAAAATAGATTTTCTGCTTTTTTGGCTATTAAATCAGCCTTCGCAGCAACAAACCAGAACAATAACGCAAAAAGTAAGTATAGGGCTGTTAAGTTTCGGAGGTAAGCTGCATAAAACAGTCACTGTTTCAGCAGTGCGTCTTGTTTTGACAAAGTTAGAGCTAAGAAACTGCAACAAGGCCGTGCTCTTTGCTGTCAACCGACGTATACGTGATTTTGGGCACAAAAAATCAGTTTTTGGGCCATAGCGCAGCCAAAAATGGTCCAAATGAGGAGTGTAATACCTCGTAGGACTCGTAACTTGATTGGTATGATTCCCAATTGGTTTGCATGCAAATCTGGGAAACTTCATTTTGGGCCCATTTTTGAAAATTTTGATGATGGTACCCCTTATCAAAAATGCGAAATTTGGGCCAAAATTGATTTTCCCAAAATCGAAAAACGAGTGATAGGGGTAGTAAGTGTTGGTCGTTAGCAGCACAAAACGGTCATTTATTTGGCTATGCGTCTCGATTTGACCGAGCTAGAGCTAAAAACCCGAAAATAGTATTGCAAATTTCTGTTAAAAATAGATTTTCTGCTTTTTTGGCTATTAAATCAGCCTTCGCAGCAACAAACCAGAACAATAACGCAAAAAGTAAGTATAGGGCTGTTAAGTTTCGGAGGTAAGCTGCATAAAACAGTCACTGTTTCAGCAGTGCGTCTTGTTTTGACAAAGTTAGAGCTAAGAAACTGCAACAAGGCCGTGCTCTTTGCTGTCAACCGACGTATACGTGATTTTGGGCACAAAAAATCAGTTTTTGGGCCATAGCGCAGCCAAAAATGGTCCAAATGAGGAGTGTAATACCTCGTAGGACTCGTAACTTGATTGGTATGATTCCCAATTGGTTTGCATGCAAATCTGGGAAACTTCATTTTGGGCCCATTTTTGAAAATTTTGATGATGGTACCCCTTATCAAAAATGCGAAATTTGGGCCAACATTGATTTTCCCAAAATCGAAAAACGAGTGATAGGGGTAGTAAGTGTTGGTCGTTAGCAGCACAAAACGGTTGTTCTTTTGGCTGTGCGCCTTGTTTTGACCGAGTAAGACCTTAAAAACTGCAAATAATGTTGCAAATTTCTGTTAAAAATTATCACCTGATCAAAAATGCAAAATTCAGTCAAATACTGTATTTCACAAAATCAAACAGGAATTTTTCACAACTAAAATGGTACAAAATAAGTGCTTTAATTATGCAAATGTTGATTTATCCCTTTATTTATATACCGTTGTTAGTTTAAAGCAAATTATTGCACAAAATATATCCTTAGTCCTGCCGTTTAAACAAACAAAATATATTTTTTTATTCCACTTCACAATTTTGAGTTACATTTTCAGTTCCAAATTCAGCACTTTTCCATTTTGAGTTTCATTTATTTCAAATTTGTCATATCAATTAACCCAGAGAGTCCAGAGATCGTACTGTGTTCTTTTTTTTACTTTATGCTTAATCCTAGTTATTGCCCCCAAGCCCCCATATGCGTACGTGTAACCATGCTCTTAGATCTTTACCGGGACTCGAACCCAGGCCGACGGGGGAAATTTCTATTTTGGGAGTCGGCTTAACCCCCTACACCACCGTCGGCGGCGATTTGACAGCTTCAAAATTTATAATATAAACTGCACCTACTTCGATTGGTTCAAACATGAAAAATGTTCAGTTAAAAAAATCGAGTCAATTTGACTGCTATAGAAAAGCTAAAAGATTTCTCCAAGTGCACCGTTGGTTTTGGGTTTGGTGCGAGTTTTGGGCAAGTGTCCTTGAGCACTTTGTGCCAAATGCATAGGCTAAGACGGTGGTGGGAGTTGGAGGGCGAAGTATGTCCGTAGGTGTGGGGAAAAAAGTACGGGGGGTTGTACTAGAAGCAAAGCTTAGCACACACTTCATGCTCCAAGCGAGCCACAGTCACGTACATTTTATAAACTTCATTCGCTTTGCCCCATCTCGTATTCGCTCGGCAGGGAGCCGAATTCGCCGCAGAGCTTTCGCCTTTGCCTTCGCCGTGGCGGGACATTAAAAAGGACCTGTTTCGCCGTCGAGGCGCCAGAACAATTCGTGCCGCGCGCGCGTTCGGTTCGTTGTGATTTTGGGGCTTCAGAAAAAAACAGATCCTTTCCCCCCAGTCTCTCTCTGCCTCTGTCGCTCTCTCTCTCTATCACTGATTTTCATATTCTGCGAGCATGGGTGTATGTGTTTTGTTTCGTGTCTGAATGTGCGTGTGAGAGTCCTTGTGGTAGTGAAAGTAAACAAGTCGCCGGGGCGCCGGCAAAATGTTTTATTCCTTGTTATTGTTGCGTGGACAGAGCAAAAATATTAAAAGTGGTGGCAAGAAGAAGGGGCAGAGAGACCGAAGGAGGGCAGGCATAAAGGACTTCAACAGAAAAAATCCTTTTACCAACTCCGTGCCGATGCGTTAATGAACCAACCGTCAACCTTATTGTTAATTTTTTTTTTATAGTGAGCGCCAAAAATTGAGAACATACGAAAAAAGTAAGGACCAAGAAATAAAAAAAAGGTGTTTACCCCTTCCAGCCGAAACTCGAGAAGATCAAAAAATGCTGCGACCCAGCTGCCTAGTGTCCTTTTTGGGCCTCTGCCTGGTAATCAGCCTAGGAATGCGCTGTGATGCTAGAGCGGTAAGTACAGGATAATTAAGTACAGAAATTAAAGACATTCCCCACACTTCTCGATTATTATTCGCTTTGTATCCTTGTGAAATCCTTGCCAAAGCAATGCCTTAGTAACTGACCCCACACAATCAAAATTAAACACTCGAAAACAAAGAGAAAGAAAAATTCGTTTAGGAATTCGACTGTTCATTAGCAAGTTCAAAACTTTGAAATCCTATATTTCTAATTACAAATTTTATACGCAGTGATTCTCAAAGTTAATTGCTGTGTTTAATTGCATATAAATTAGTCTCTGTTGCTTATGTTTTTTTCTGCAATTTTATTGAGCTCCGCTTGGACTGCAATATCCTTATTTTCTTGGCCAATTCGAGCTTTAGCTGCCCCAAGGCAGCATGGCATTTAAATCTAAAGTTACTTGACAATCCAAAAGCAATCATTTGCCACACGCACAAGCACTTTCCTGAAAATGCCCGAAAGGCAATAGACTTGGTAATACAGCAACATAATGTATATTAAATTATTCCACAACTTCTGTAAGTGATACCTGGGCACATCACCGAATAAGTTCATAAATGCTAATAAATTGCAAAATTATTACAGGCCAAATATCGATGGCGCATAAATGTCAAAAAGGCTAGCCTTAATGTCTGTTTTCAAACTTCTCCATCCAAAAACAGAGAACGAAAAAAGATCTCTAACTGCCAAATTCATGAGACGAAACCCCCGCAATTTACCGCTCCAATTGGGGTCAGCTAAGAATTTTCCAGACTAAATTGCGGTTAGTTGGAAATCGAAAATCATTTTGAACAAAACGAAAACCCCCCGGAAAAGTCTAGAGTTGGGAGTTGGCTAAAATAATTTAGGGTCTTGGTTTGCTAGACAAGGGGGACTGAGGGGAATTTGTCTGACCATCGCTTGGCCCAAATTTATATGCGCAAAAGTTGCGATTCTGCTGCTCGAGAGTAAATCAAAAATGTGAAACTCTTTGGTTAGCCAGCAAAAACTTTTCTTTTATTTCTCTGTGTGATGCTGTTGTCGTTGCTATTGCTGTTGTTTTTCCTATTGCTGTTGCTGCTACACTTGATGTTGCTGTTGTCGCCGTCTCCTCAGCAGTTGATTTTGGCAACGTCCTTGTTTTGGTCTTGTGCTCAACTTATCCTTTCGACCCCCATCTTCCTGCCCTCCATCTTAGCTTGCCAATTGCACAGCAAAATAAAAATTGCTAATTCTTAGTATCCAAAGGAAAAAATATTCTAGAATCTAGATTGTGATTCTAAAATAAAAAGCTAAATATAGCCAATTTTCCCAGATCATTGGTCAAAAAGTTTAAGAACCTGGAGATTTTACACTTTATATACATATATTTTCAAATAATAATAAAAAACTTCTTTTTAAAGATTAGCCAATTTTTTTCTGTGCAAATTTCTTTGTTTTTTTGGGCGGTTGTCCTGTTTCGAACTGTCCACCCGCCCGTAAGCGCTGCGAAATGAATAATTTCAGGGAATTTACTACACAATTTTATTCATATAAATCACAAATTAAATAAGTTTTTACGAGGTTGTTCAGCGGTTGCAACCCACTACAAAACTTGTTTGTGTTCTCATTCACGACGTTTGTTTGTTTGTTTGTTTGTTGGGTTTAGCATGGTCTGGTCCGGGTTATTTGGCCCTTTTCACATGGCCAGCAAAGACGAATGGCGATGGAAGGTAGTTGCCCCCACACCCAACTCGCTCGCTTTTATGCCATTTGCCCTTTTTTATGGCTGTGTAATTTTTTTGTTGGCCTTTTTATTTATGCTTATTATCGTGATTGCTATTGCTAGGTTGGAAAAACAGCAACTGGAAAACCCACAGCAAAAGCAACCGCAGTAACAGCAAGAACAAACTCTATAAGAAAGAAAGTTTAGCCTCGAATACCCTTGCAGAATGAGTTCAGTCCTACGGCTTTCATTTAATCCGCTTTGGAACTAACTTTGTAAACTTAACATCGATAGTAGTATTAAAATAACGATATAAAATATCATTTAATAGGTATAAAATAAAAAAGGTGTAGAATTAATTTGATAATTTTAAGTAGGTAAAATCTTATGGGATTGCAATTTATTATGAGACTCTTTGAGAAGTTTATAGGACCTCAAATAGTATAGGGAACTATAATGAACAAAGGATTCTTGGCTCAATTTAAGTTATTTCTGGGAGGTTGGCCAGTAATTTGTTGGGGGGTAAAAATATAAAAAAAAAACAGGTGAAAAGTGCAAGAACAAGTGAAATGACAAGGGCAACACTTAAATTTACATTTCACATTTACTTTGAGCAACTAATGATGCTGCCGGATGAACACGTTCGTGTATTATCCTCCTCGTATTTTCCATTAAGCTCTGCTCAAAGGCAAAAGTGGATTTTCTTAACGAGTCTGACTTGCAATTATATCATACGAAAAACTGAAATATAATTACTAGCAAAAAGTAGTACCAGTTAAATGTTGATTTGACCCAAGCAAACAATACATTTTGTACATTGCATATTAAATGGCTGACAATTTGGTCCGAAAATTGGGCTGAAAGGAAATCCAGTTTGGCAGCTCACTTGGGCCATAGCCTAGATTTGCGATATATCCCAAATATTCCCTCAATCATTTATCACTTCTAGAGTAACAGACACGAATTGCTCTTGCTTTGGTTTCCCCCATCTTGTTGGTCCTTTTCTTTTCTTTTTTTTTTTTTTTTCTTTGCGCACGTCTTGGCACCGGAAAATGCGGTGGGAGGAGCGGTTTGTTGTGGGGCAAGGGCAAAGGGTAAGAGGGAAAACCCTGACTTGGGTCCTAATTTACATACGAAGGCTTGAGGAAGCTTCATGCAGATGCATTAATAATGTAACATTAGCCGGGTGAAGGGAGCAGCTAAGGGGCAGGAAGATAAACAATGCGGAACGCCTTAAACGTTAGCCAGGATGACATGAGATGAGCTGAGAAATTTCGTCTAAGCACACTGCGAATAAAATATAAATAAGAGTGTGTGGCTTACGTGGTTGATGGAAAGGCTTTAAAGAAATTAACAGAACTTAAACAAAAGTTTTCTTATCTTTCTATCAAAAATAATACTTAAACTAAATGGCTTAATGCATAAATCGTTATAGTTTCTGATTACATATCCATAGGTCCATAGGTCGTATTTGCTTCAGTGTACCCTTAGCTATTTGACAACGTTTTAGGCCGATTCCATTCCGTTTCATTCCGCTCTTATTCATGGCATTCACGTGCGCCCGACACGAGATTCACAAGACGTGAAAGCAATTTACGATGTGGCCGCCGCAACAATGAGCAATTAATCATGCCACGGCAATGGTGCATGGAGTTGCCACTGTCCCCCTGCTCCGGCTCCCAGTTCCCAGCTCCTGCTCCAGTTTCACTTTCTGCTCGCCACTGAGCCGCCCCAAGAGCACCACCCGCTCAAGGACGACCAGAACAAGGCCGTCCAGCAGACACAGAAAGAAGCGCCAAAGCGAAACGGCAAAAAAGGAAGAATATCCAAAAAAAAAAAGAATGAAAACTCACGACCTTGAGTTGCATTTACCTACCGCCATCCCCCGAAAGTCCGGCCTTTGGCGTCCAACTATTCCGCACATCAAATCATAATTTATGGACGGCAATCAAAATGAGCCTGGCTTCCCTGCTTTTTTTATTTTGGACTTTTCGGTTATTTTTGATGATGGTTTGGCCTGGCTTGGTGTGAAAAAGTTGCGCAGTCGCCCACATAATTATCGGTTTGATTTATGGCAGCATTTTCGCAGCCAATTACTTCGCACCCAATGCAAAAAAAAGAAAAAAGAACACAACGAGGGAAATCGGAACGCAAAAAATGCGAGAGCGGAAACCGGAAGCGGATATCGCATTGGAATGCGGTAAAAATGAACCGCTGAGTGACCTCGCAGCGGGTGGAACACCCTTGCATGTCAAACCTTGGAAAGTTCCCACCCCAAAAAAACCTCGCTGATTTTGATCTCCAATTGGCCAACCTTGGAAGTCAATCAAAAACGCTGTGAAAGCTATAATTTTGGTGGCTAAAAAATACTAGAAAAATGAGAACAGCAGAAGGTTATTCTGAGTCACGGAATATTATTGTATTTTAGTTTACAGAACTTGACACATTTCCCGAATAAAACATAACATTTTCGGATACTCAATTCAATGTCTGCTTAGTTTGGTCTTCTTGTGACTTACTTTACTTTAAGTTGAGAATCCCGAGAAATGAAATGGATCCACTAAGCCCTGTAGACAATCCAGCAGCACATTAACAAAGTTGGCACCCAACGGACAAACAAACAAATGGACAAACAGACAGAGACAGAGAGACAGTGGGATAAACAGATGGACCATCAAATAGTTGACATATACGTATATATAAATGTATATATATTGTATATAGTATACATCCCCCGAGCAAGGACAATGGGGACTGGCAACCAGGTCAACTGGGGCATCGAGGTAAAACGGCAAAGGAACAGAGGCAGCTGCCATCAGCCCAAAAAAGAAAAAAAAAATATGTTACCGAAGCTGAAGGCTTAAGTGGGAAATTCTGGTTAAACTTGATTGCCATGGAAATGCTCTTTTTTTTTGGATTTTCCACACGAACCAAGAGGAAATATGAGTGAGCACTCTGGCCTCGTTGAGTTTTAATATTCATACAAGCAAAAAAAAAATACAAAAAAACTGGCCCACGATGATGTGTTAATTTAGCTTAATTTATGAAATTAGCAACGTTCTGGGACAGAGTTTTCAACCCGAAACTCAATGAGTGTGTGTGTGTGTGTGTGGAGGAATATGTGGGCTTTTTGGGTTCTTTGGCATGGGAACTTTGAAATAATTGCGTTATCTTCGCCTCACCCCCGACCATTGAAAAGTTGAAAAGTGTTTGCATTCAGCTTCATCAGCTGATTGCCGGCAGCTTCAAAGCAAGCGAAGACAAACTTTCCGAGGGAATGCAGAATGGAGAAATGCGTCAGATAGCT